TCTTGGGCTTTACTTTCTTTCCTGAACTGTGTGTTGTTTTCTTCTGCACTATTTTTTAGCAAAAGTTTGTAACTTGGAGATATCACTCTGTTCTTCATTATTTCTCATTTGATGCCCACATCTCTTTTCTTCAGAAACAGTCACTAATGATATTTTTTATTAAATATCCACAGTAAGTTATAATACACTGAGCCAATATTTTGAGGTTTTTTTTATCAGAGAAGTAGAAGTAATCCCTGCAGCTGTAGGTTTTATTAAGGTGCATAATCGTATGGTGATTAACAACTGCATACTGAAGGTATGGACTGAACAGACTGCTTCTTTCTACTCAGGTAGCTTTCAAGTATGGTTTTTAATATAGTGTTAGGGCATGTGAAAATAAACTATAAATGCCTCAGCTGTGAGGAGAACGGTACTGCTAACTCATAAATGGATGTGAAGTAGCTCTCAGGTTTCAAACACAAATGAGATATAGATGTTCAATACAGAGGAGCAACATTTCAGCTGTTTGGTTTGGCAAAGTACATTCTGTCTTTGAAGAATTTAATTGCTTATTTACATTTGCAGATTTCATTGCTTATATGAGTACATGAGCTATAAACTATTCATTCCAGCTCTTGCTGAGAACGTGTAGGCTTAGTAATTAGTGATTTAAAATAGATCAGTTTCCCATTTGATGGGGTGAGAAAGGGCATGTCCAAGCATTGCTCAGGGTCTGTGTGCACCTTTAACCATGCTTAACCTGACTAATTTTCAAAACCATCTAGGCTTTAAGGGGTGGGGGGAGCGGTGTTGGGGTTTTTGGCTGTGGGTTTTTTTTTCCTTTTTTCCTGAGAAGAATGTGGGACACTTTCTGCTGTGGTAGGTTTTTCTTGCTTGCTTTCTAGTTAGACTGATTGCAGTTTTTATCCTAAGAACTTTATGGTTTTCCACATGGATAACCTTCACCTTTGCATTAGTTTCATACCACATCTCTCCAGGAATCTTCTTATGAAGAATTTTTCTGTGTTTCAGAATTTATCTAAGGCACTGGATTTAGCATTTGTTTGTAGCAAAATGAAACAGTCTTACTGATGCAATAAAATTTTTCTGCTTTTTCATGTTGTGCTTCTTAAGCTTCAATCTTCTAAGTTTTGGTTAAAGGAAACGTTAAATAGGTGCAGGGAGATGTTTTGGCTTATTTTTATATAAATGTTCCTGTTCAGAGGAAAATATTTGCACTTTGTTTCTTAAAACTAGATGTCTTACACAATAGTTGTATAGTTGTAGTGTAAAACTGTGAGTCTTTGGTTCTGTTTAAAACTTAGTAAAACTATAGAGGTGAGCATAAAAAGGTTCAATGTAAAGTATCATTCCAAGTGTCTGATGACAAAATGATATCATCATGATGTTTTAAGCATGTAACTGCTAATTTGGTTCTTTTTCTAATCAGAAATGTTAAACAAGTTAATTTTAATGCAACTGTGCATGCAAACATATATTCATTAAGAGATACAAGTGTCATTATTTTGAAAATAGTTGTATTGTATTTGGGAATAGGCATGTGAGGGGTTAAGTTTGCTGCAAGGTTGTCACTAGGTCTCCTTATTTTATTGGTCTCTGGGATGTAGGTTTGTATTTGTAATTTGTGCACGTTGAACTTCAAATATGATTTTTGTGTTCTTGAGAATAAATAATGCTGGGGACTCACATTAATGTGACAACATGCAGAGGAAATACTTGAATTTCTTGATATTAAGTATAGTGATTCAGCATAGAGGTACAGAATAAAAAAAAACGGAGCACTTTTTAACAAACATTCTATAAGTTGAAAAGCTTGTCTTCCTCTCCTGGTTAAACTGAAGCAAGCAGGAACTGAAGAAGTATTACCTGTGTTATCCCTTCCTGTTACATCTGGATTTTATACATGACTGTAGATGTTGGATCTTACGTTTCTGGAGACTAGGATAAGTTGTTTTAAGTAGCAGTATTGGAGAAGTGTATGTGACATCATAAATATTACAGAAAGCTTATTTATACTGAAACATGATAAAACTGCTTTCAGATCATGGTAGAGGGTAAGTTAGGAACTTTGTCTTACTTCCTGCTGGTGAACTCACAAGCAGTTGCACTGTTCCTTCTCATTAAAGGCAAGTAGAAACACAAATAATACAGATTAACATAAAGAGCTTTCCATACTGGTATGTATGTATTTTAAATTGCTTGTCTTCTGTGAAATGATATTAAACACAAAAACTCACCAAAAAGCCCTCCCCTAGACTGAGCAAACCCAAGGGGCTAATACAATAAACAAAACCAAACCACAACCCCCCTGATGTTCCTTCACAACCAAAAAAAAACTTTTCCCAGTTTGGATTTCCACACTTCATCGTAATCCTCTCTGTTCAGCTAGCTTTTTTTTTTTAACTACTTTAGTCATGTTTTCTACATGTACTTTCTCGTCAATGTTGTGTAATGTTAGCAGACTTGGAGCTTGTTGGTCTGAAAAGCCCTGCAGCCTTTTCAAAAGAACTTGTAGTCTTGTTTAGTGACCCTGAATGTCACCACCTGTGTTCAGGAGGAATGTGTATAAAATATGTGAATTGAACAAAAGTTTCAAGATGATAAATCAACACTCTTGTGGTAAAACAGGCAGAAAGCTACACCAAAATCTGCTTTTAAAAGTTAAAATGAAATAAGACTAGAAAATGCCAAAGCTGTTTGCCTGTACAGCTTTGAATTGAATCCCCAGGTATATATTAGTTTTTAAAATTTTCTTTGTTATCTTCAAGCATGTTTGTATATCTAGTTTCCTCACAGGACAGGCCTCTGTTAGTTCACGAGAGTTGCTTTAGTGATAAATTTGAGCTATATAGGGAGGACCCATCATGTTTTCATAGTCTCTGCTTCAGTTATTGAAGATGAGGTTTGCTAAAGAAAAACAGATATCTGTCAGTGTTAAGTATGCTACCTTAAAAAATTGCGCTTGAATTCTGCTTTTGCTAAGTAGTTGCAAGTAGTAATTAAGAAGCAGTGTTGATGTTTACCATCTTAATGGTAATTCAGATATTTGCATTTCAGTTAAGACTAGTCACTGTTCCTTATTTCATAGTGTTTAAATATATGGTCTGATTACCTGAACTGCTTTTGCATCTGAACTCAGTGGAAGCTATGTTGTAAATACAAATTTTTTTTTATGCTGATGTCTATCCTATAAAAAAATGAGCTTTAGAAATTGTTACCCAAAATTAATGGGTAGTTTTTACCTTGTGTGTCAGGATTCAGTCTGTCTTGTTTAGTCGTTCACTTGCTTTGTTCTTCAAGTATGAGAGCTGCAAAGAAATGCTTAAAGAAACTAGGCAGTGTATTAAAATAAAGCTGTATATTGACCCACAGGAGAAGTTTACTGAATTCCTGCTGAAATACCCTGAAAAGGTAGTATAATCTATTGATGCTTAGAGTTGTAAAAACACTTGTGTGGAGGAATGAGGAGAGAACAAGCAAACTCTTGGTTTTCCTGAAAGTACAGGAAAGAACTCAATTAGGGTTGCCCTTCTGTAGTTTTGGTAATGAAATTACCAAGCATGTAGCTTGAATGTTGGTGTTAAAGTATATCTCTTTATGTAGCTTGTTTTGTTTTAAATCAAGCTATAAATTGAAGCTTCAGATACAGAGTTCATTTGATAACTGTGGTTCATGAGTGAATGAAACTCTTGTTTCAGCCTTTATTGCTTGAGCTATGGCAGTAGTACACAACAGTAGTAGGTTGCAATAGGTTGCTGTTCCCTGTAGACCAGCATTAGAATCTTTGCTGGAAGTGTTGAAAGCTTAATGGCAGCAGTATTGTAACTTCAAGTGTGCTGAAGTGCATACGGGCTGCTCTGCCTGTAGTATTCCTGCCATTGCTCTCTGTGGGTTTTTTTTTTTATGGGGGGAGAGAGGAGGTGTTTGTTTTTTGTCTGTTTGACACAGTTCTTGTTTTTTTCACTCTAGTAACAGGCTTCTTGGCCACAAAGTTGTGACTTCCCTGTCAAGATTATGATTCTCCTCTTACACTGACTTCATGTCATTTTTTTTTTTATTTTTTTTTGTCCTCTACTTGCCTGCCAAAACTATTTTCTCTGTGGCCCATTCATTTGAGCTCTTTAGTGCTCTGCATTCAAATTGGCTAGGAGCTCGCTTGGCGCAGGAGGAAGATTTCTCAGATTATAGACACACCATGAAGCAGTCCAAATCTGAAACTGTTCAGACTGTAGAGTTTACGGACCCCAGGTGGATTTTGGGGGATAATGTGTGGATGAATATTTTAATCCCTTGAGTAGATACAAACTGTTTTTTACAGTGTTGCTTTATAAATGAGCCAAACCTTTTGTTTGGGGAGTTGAAATACAAAACCATCGGTCCTTAAAAAGAAGTTATTCTCTCACTTATTCTCAGTCTCCTACCTCTGTAAATTATATTGTAACAAGTCTGGAAGGAGCAACATGTATCTGTTGATGCTTATGAGGAAAAAAAAAAGCTATTTTTATTTGTCCCCTGAAAGAGTTGTGATGAGGTTAACATCAACCCTACCTATTTGGCAGAAGTTACAAAATTGAGAAGACTATGGTGAGAAGTGGTAGACAACTTTGCTAGGTTGTCCTTCAGGCTACTTAATTATTTGTTCAATGAGATAAAGGGTGAGATCAGATGTCTCTTCCTGCCATGTGTAAACGGAAAAGATTTGGGATATCCAACTTCTTTTGCAACCTGGCTGTTTGGATCTGTGGGGTAAAAAAAAGTAAGCTGTATATTCAAGAACACTTCCCCAACCACAAAGATTTTTGCTAATAATTGTGTGTTGTGATCCTGTGTTGAGGCAGCCTGTTTGAACAGTTGAACAGTTAGGGCATAAGCTACTTTTGTGGTTGTGAGTCAAGTTCATTAACTTGGGGAGGGTCAGAGGGAAGAAAGGAGACTTAAGTTACTGTGTACGTAACTAGGATGGGTTCTTATTTGACCTAAAGTCTGTCTTGATGCAGCAGCACAAGCCAGCGAGGAGACTGTCACATTTCGCCGTGAACGCAGCACATTTAGGCGTCAGGCAGTACGACGCCGGCACAATGCAGGGAGTAACCCTACCCCTCCTACATTGCTCATCGGATCACCCCTCAGGTAGGGTATCTAAATGTTCCACCATATTTAGCATGCATGCAGCAGACCACTTCCCCACACCCACCAGTGTTGCCAGAAAAGCACTTTTTACTTCTTTCCCCACCATAACCTTGAGCTGTCACTGCATGTCACTGTGGGCTTGTTGAATTGTGCATGTATATGTGGCACTATTTTAAAAATGGACAGGATAGTCAGTCTCTAACACCTTGCAGCTGTTTTCAGATTGATATAAAAATTAACTACTGCTAACAAATTTAGCCTCAGTGGTTTTTATCAAAAATTTTAGAAACTTTTACTTCCAATCAACAAGAGAAACCCAAGAAAATAGTATCAGCACCCCCATTTTGTTTTCTTTTCCTGAAGAATATAAGTATTAGGGACTAGTACTGTGATCATTTCACATTTGTAGATTGTGGGAGATAAGCAAAATGACAGACATTTATAAAGAGCTAATACATACATAGGCTACAAATCTAAAATACAGGTAAACCTTTATGAAGATTGTGCAGCTTTTTACAGCAAAAGAGAAATAATGAAGTGAGTAAAATGCCCAGTATTGCTTAGTATTAAATCTGATTGAGTGGCACTTCGCATGCCTTGGCAATGTTTAAAATGTACTGTATACATCTATCTCGGGAGTCCCCCCTCTAGTTGAAAACTAGCCCCTTTGTTTTCAATGCTGAGCCTAGTGATTTACATGCAGCAGTTCTGTTTGATCGATCAGCCTGAACAGTAGAAACAGCAGCCACAATAAGTTTTTAGACTTGTGTTTCAAGTCTTTCTTAGTTGCTTATGGTATTGGAGAATCTGTGAGGAGAACATGGCCTGTAGAAGAAGGAACAGTCCCCTGTCAGTATTGAAGTAATTCTTCCTTCAGTTACATGATAAATACGTAGGAGTAACTGCATATGTTACATATTCTCAATGACCATCCTTTGTATGTTAAACTGTTTTTGTGTTTTGGGAATATTTATGTAATTTTTTGAACTAGGAAAAGCTGTAGAAACTGAACAAATAAAAAGAAAATACTTTACAGCCGAGAATGGCAGAGGAATTGTCGTCTTTGTCACACCACTAAAATATTTGAGGACTATGTTTGCAAATTTTCCTCAGGCAGGGGGAGTGCAAGAATGGTACCTAGAAATCTAACAGATGAGGGACTGACATCTATCATATCAAGGACTGAAACTAGTTAGGTGTGTTTTTAGTGACTAGTGCAGTATGAAGTAGCAATTATGTAATTTCAGATTTTTCTTTTTTGGTCTTGCTGAACATAGGGTGTTAAACTTGAAGCTAGTGATTTGCTTCATAGTGAAGGATGATAAAACTTTGCATTCTTTCAGATCACTTTTGCTTTACCTGATTGCCTTCACTTGCCTCTGAGTTTTTGTTTTCCTTTTTTTTTTTTTTTTAATAAAGGAGGGTAGTGCAGCTTTGTGTATTGCAGCATAAGAGGTTGTGCAGACTAATGAAAGCTTCTTAATTGTGTATTAGTTAGAAAACAGTGTTTTCTTTCATGTAGGTATAAAGTAAGGAAAGTAAAGGACTCTGTTTTAAACTGGTTGACAGCTGCCGCATTTCCACAGGCTAGTGCAGTCATTAAGGTTCCCGTGGCTTAAGCTTGACTTCAGTGACAGACTTTGAAGTAACTTCATGAACTTTGTGCATCATGAATTTCACTTTGTGAAGTGGGAGTAACTCTTTAATCAGGCAAGATGTTCAAGGGTAAAAAAGCAGATTAAATATTCTAGCCTTGGATTTCCTCTAAGCATCTTTGTTATCTAAATTTGTTCTGTTCTAAATTAGAAAAAACAACCAAAACGGCTCGCTTTACTTCTCTAACTTAATGACATACATTATCAAAAATACTTTATAATATAAATGTATTCAGAATTGAATACTTAGTGAGGTTAATTTACTCAAAGTACTTTTCATGATGCTAAATGACTGTCCCTTGGAGTGGAGTTACATTGCCGTAGTCTAACCAAACAGCTAAGTGTTTCATATTTGTTTGGCACAGATTCAGTTTGAGCTATCAACTGTAGAATGTATCTGAAAAAAATATATGTATTAATATTTTAATTTCTAGGTGAACAGCCTGAAACCCATAAAGGAAAGGGGGTTATCTTAATTTTAATGTAAATTCTGTTTTACTGGAAGAAGGAAACCCTTAAGAAAGATTTTGAAGAAATCATGCCTAAGGAGCAAATGTGATGAAATATAGAGACATTTTTAGCCAGTCACCACTAAGAAGTTTTCAAAATATCATTACAATTGTACTGAAATCACTCCTGTATGCTGTTGGTGAGCTGCCCCAGTCTAGTTTCTGATATTGCTAATCTATGACTTCAGATATTAAACTTCTAAGAATATTAGATTTACTAATCTTTAGTTGCCCTGATGTTATGTGTTTCTTAATCTCTAATTTTGTAACTCTGTCATAAAACAGGATGTTGGGGGAATGTTCCCTAGGACCTGTTGAGTTAAACCTGATATAATTTATAATTTTCTATCCAATTACTTTTCACTTCCTCTCTGAAATATTTCGTAAATAGACATTGGCATTATGACATTATGTGTGTCTTCGGCAGTGGTAGAAAAGTCAAACCTGGTCTAGTAAATTCTGCTGGTTTGATGCTAAATTAGACACAAGATTATTTTGCCTGGTAACCTAAAAAGCAAACCCAAAATGCACCATAAAACACTGTCCACCCCTGCTTTTGTCCTGTCTAAATGTCAGTAGTGTTTTGGGCACTTGAAAAATGAGTGTTCATTGGCATCCCATGTAGTCAATGGTGTATGCATGTGTGTAAGTGAATGTATGAAGCAGAATTTTATTCTTAGAATAATGAGGCAGAGAATAAACATGTTTTTTGCATATTCTACAATTGGTTGCCATGGATTTTTTGGTGGGATTTTTTAGTTGTGACAGATGTGGATAACTATTCAAAGGGCAGCTGTGTAATAACCTCTTGGTTACTGGTAGTTGGTTTGGTGTTGCTTAAGGAAGACAGTGAAGGTTGGAACATCTGTGACCTTCCCTAGGGCTTTTCTTGCTGCATAGCTCACTGGAAACCTTGTATACTGCAGCAAAATACTGAATTTAAATCTCAGATTAAAATGTTAGAACACAATAAATAATGAATTGCAGTTCTTTTCTTCCTGATATGTGTGCATGTCTGCATTAGTTTGCATGAGCTTTTCTTAACACCTATTCTTATATCCATATTTTGTTTTCCAGTGATGCTCTAACAAAAGAACTGAAAAGTAGATGATGTAGAAAATACTGTTAAAAGCAAGTACATCAGATATAACCCTTCAACTCTTAGTAAGATCTTGTTTTTTTAGTTGCCTCATTTGCCAACTCCAGCATCATGCTGTAAACAGTGAAATGTTAAAAGCAACAGGTGATACATATTGTTTTTCAAAACAGTGTTTAAGCTGTTTTCCAGTCTTTAAAATACAAAATCTTTCACCTAAGATAATGCCTCAGCTAATGACTGTATAATGTAACTTCTTTAAATACACAAAATAAAGGATAAAACTGCTCTTGCAAAGATGATATGATATCAGCTGTAAACATCATGTACTCTGACACTGTCATACCTAATATTAAACAAGCTGTTTAAGAAATCTTAACTTTGGTAAATAGCTTTATAAAGTAATTTTGCATTGGAAGTTTGTGAAGAGGAGAATTAACATTTTTGAAACATTATCTACTCATGCCTATAAATGTACAAATTTCTCTGAAAGCCAGGTTGACTTTTAAAACCTGTGTTTTGGTGAGTAATAAAGTTTTTTCTGTATCTTCAAAGTAGCTTCAGAATCAACTTTTGCCAATTAATAACTTTCTATAGAGAGTCTTAATATGTTCGAAGTAATTCTGAATCCAAATGTATTACTTCAGTTATCTACAAGGTCTGTGGTAGTACATGGCTATCAACAAAGCCTAAAGATGTTTCCTAGTTAGTGTGGATTAATAATAAGAAGGGTCATGTCTCTGTGACTAACAAAAAAGCCCTAAACAGCTGATCAGGTCATACTTGAATAAGCAAAAAGAACCCCAGCTATTGTGAGAAGACTGGAATAGTCAGTGTAAATATAGGTGATACCTCTGGTTAGTCTGTACTTAAACTAAGCAGCAGTAATTTGCTTTTGCACCTACAAATTAAGACTCAGAAGAACATACCTGTTGGGTGACTTGGGGAGATCTTTGAAAGCAGTACTACTTCTAAGAAGTTGACAGGAACAGTATCTCTAGATTAATGATGTAACTAGGGCCTAAACACTGTTACACAAAATTTAGGGGTTACTTTAACCCTAACTGTTGGCTGCTTAATGCTACTATACACTTTAAAAAAAAAAAAAAAGTTTTCCTCTTTAAACTGAAAAATCTTGTTTTACTTCACTTCTGGCTCTTTTTCACTTCTTCCGGTAATGTATGCCCAATGCGTGTTTTCTCGTAGCCTTCAAGATGGTCAGCAAGGCCAGCAGTGCTCCTCCCAGGTCAGAGTGCAGTCCCGCCCCCCTTCCCAGGCAGCTGTGCCCGGCGCTAGCGCCTCCTTGCTGGTGAGAAATGGGAGTGTCCACTTAGAAGCATCACATGCCACTGCATCTGCTGTAGGCGGTAGCAGTTTGCACGATGAACTTGGTATGCAGGCCTTATGTAACCTTGGTGACATGGAAGTTTTAATACGGCAGATTTATTGGAAATGCAATATGCAGTGAAAAGAGCTTTGTTTCTTAATCTTGTAGCTGTGTTTCTAGGAAGGCCATATTGCTCATCCATTTGTTGCCTTTTTCAATCACATTTCCAGGTACTTTCTGTAACAAATGAATGATGGGAAATATGGAGGCATAGATGCAAGTAATGATGATGTGAGAACTTGATTTGAGTAATGTAACACAAGCAATAAATCTTCCCTGTGGTCCTGCAGGCAGTTGAGCAGACTTTGGACATCTTCTGGTTCTTAAAAAAAACCAACTTGTTATGGCTTCTAGGAATTCTTGATCTTACCTTTTTTAGATGAGTTGTTTAGCTGTTGTTCGAAAAAGAAATACTTACATAAATGAATGCTTTGCTTTTAATGTACACCTTAATTTAAGAGCTTGGTATTGGAAGTAAATCTGGACTCTTTGGTATGTCAAACATCATCATTTTATGCTTTATAGTGCCTTCTTCATTCTTCATGGTCCGTTTTATGTAATATTCCCGATTATTAAGTTCTTAATTAACTCCTGTGCAGCTAATAAAATTGCTAGGAAGAAGTTAACATGGTCTTAATAAATGACTGATCTGCCACATAGTGCAGGGGGCAGGTTTGGAAAAATTCCTGTCAGGGATCTTTGCAGCTATCTATACATGGCCCTAATTACTTATGACTTCATTATTAATATATAAGTCTTCCTTGAATTATTAAAATGGGCATCTTGAGCGCTGACAATTATTAGTGATGGGATTTTGAGCAGCTGTTGGCTGTAATAACCTGAAAGTACAAGTTTGATCAGAACACTGACAAAACATTTGTTTCGGACTTTTCTGTAAACCAGTACTAAAAGATAAATGAGTTGTCTTCTTACCTCACTAGAGGGGAAGATTACGTGAGTTGCCAGTCTGTGGTAACCCTTTAAATATGAGTTTGACTGAGTCTTCATTCTTCTGCATCGTCTAGCTGCGGTATAAGGAAAAATGGAATACAAGCAAAACTGACAGCTACCTTGACCTACTCTGAGATGTTTTATAAGACTTAACTGCAGATGTAAAAAATACACATGATCTAGTTATCTAATAATTTTTGTTGTAGATTCTGTTGCTTTACTTTTTTCTAGATAGAAGTTATTATTTCAATTTCAGTGCTTGTATGTTTCTCTCAACTATAAAAGCTTGTCACACAAAACCCATTTTCTTTATTTAATTTGGACTCTTACTGGGAAAAAATATATTTCAAATATAACTCTGAAACTGCTATACAGGTTATATCTGTCCAAGGTTAATGTTGAGCTGTATTCTTGAGGCTGCCATTATTTATTTGAAGAATTTGGTTCATCTTACCTGAAATAACACGGCTGAATTCTGTAGAATTTGTCATTTAATATACAATCTAGGTCTATGTTATTTAAGAGTTTATATTATTTGCTCTGGCAGAAATCAAAGTAGATCATAGATAAAATTCAGCATGGCATTCAGGCTCTCGAAAAAGGCATATTCATTGCATTTTTTGTACATTAGAGTCTTCAGATATTCATATGAATCCATTTTTCTGTAACTTTTCCTGTACTGTGTTTACAGTTATATGGGACATCATGTTGTCTTTGGGAGGCACAAAACTTCCAGGATTTGCTAGATAGAAACCTGATGTATAATAGGGATTTGTTTCCCATTTTGAAACTTTGAGCATCTAGTTTAGAATCCTTTGAGAGACAGGAGCTATTACAGGCAGGATCTTCTTGGGTTATTTTAGGAAAATCAAATTTTTCAATTTGTGTAGCAGGTTTTGTGGAACAGGTGCTATTGTTTGTTAAGAGCAAAATAGTTGGCAAAATGGTGCATGCTTTTGTGTGTGAGATTCCTTAACCAGGCCTGACAAGAGAGTATCTTTCAAGGATCTTTCAAGTTAGTTTGTTTGGGGCATTTTTGTTGGTTTTTTTTTCTTTTTTACACCCTCAGTCAGGGATGAAGTAAGACTATTTTTCTCTTTCTGTTGAGTCTAAGGCTCTTGGTTTTGCTAGGTTATCCCAAGATATCTTACTGTGAAACATGACCATGTTACTTTAGATTGTCTGTGGTTTGGGTTGGGAGAAGGTAGTAGTTTGTTTTTTTCTTGATCAGCATCAGAATAAAAATCAAAGCAATGAAGGAGATATGACCATTTTTGCTGTGGAAATCATTGTGACTGCCCAGGGGGAAAAAAAAAAAAAAATCTTGAAAATAGTGGCTAGGGAAATATATGGAAACAAAACCTCGTTTTCACCAACTCAAAATATCAGTGACAAACATAGATGGGGTTATATATCTCTGTTCAGTGCATATAAGAGTTAATTTCCTTAATTCAGATCCTCTTGGAAAGGCAGGGCACATATTCATTTACTTTAAAAGCCCTCACTTACAGGGCTCATGTTTTCCTTTACCAGTGCACTGTCTGCTTCTACATTTTTTTCTTTTCATGTTGATATCAAGTTGCAGCACTTAACAAGACACACAGTTTTTGGTTTTGTTTGCTTTAAAGTTTCTTGTCTGTGAATTTGATTGTGGTGACTTATTTTACATAGGATGAGGCTCACTGTATTATACCTGCCCCACACTTGGTCTGGTGACGATACAGTTATCTTTAACTGGGGTTTGCCTCGGGAATAATGCAAGAGATGCATTTGAGGCATTATCTTCAGTCTTCCAGGTTCAAAGGAGGAAGATTTTTATCAGTTATACTGTTGGAAGGTTGAAGGGGGGGGGGGTGAACTTGAAAGGATGGAAAAGGAGCTTGATAATGGAGCATTAAACATGTATTAAATCATAGAAGGAATGCAGGACAGAAAGGAAATGTAGCAAACAAAATGCCATGATTATAGGCAGGATTGATGTAATACAAATCTCAAAAGCAGCAAAACATGTGCTGTGACTTAAATGAATGACAGTTTTCAGAGTGGAGTGTGGCAGTATTGATGCTTTTTGTTCTCACTAATATCTGATTCTTTAGACAGGTAAGTGGGGTTTTTCAGCCCTTGCAGTGAAGATTAAATTCAATTAGAATTTGTCAAATTGTTAGGAATCCAGGTACTGAGTTAGTAGAATAGATGCCCAGTGTCTGAAGCTGGGGTAAAATAACAAACTCTTGTCCTTAGCTAGATTATTTTATTTTTTTAATTGCTTTTGTACTTGAAGAGAACTGCTCATCTAGAGCTTTACAAGATTATTATGGTGCTATGGTGGACTTCTGGTTGTAACAAGCAATAATATTTCAGTTTCAAGTATTTTAATTTATGAAGGCAGCTGAATGGTTTAGAATATCAAAACTTTTATGTGAAGATAAATGTATACCCTGGTTACTTATTTGATTAAAACCAATTTAGAAGAGTTACACAGTATCTTTTGATAATTAAATTGTTGTAATTTATTTGGGATGAATGTAGGAGCATGTGCAAAGGTCCATGTAGAAAATAAATATTCACTTCCCATTATTCCTGTGGAAAATATCTATGTTGTGGTCTGGAATTTGGTCTAATAGGTAAGTTGCTCTTGACAAACTTCATATTGGAACAAAAAATGAACTACTTTGAAGAGTTCTAACTAAAAATACGTACGTCTTCATACCATAGGTAACAGTAGAATTTTGAACTTTGCAAATAAAGCTCCTAGCAGTCTACCAAATAGTCAAATTCTGATTACTTTGGTTTTGCTAACTAGGAGTTAAAACATATCAACTGAAGCAGAAGATAAATATATATTGATCTAATGATGATGTAATTTCAACATATCTGTAAGACTTTGCATGTGAAGTAGTCAGAGAGGTTTGAAATAAAAAAGTAGTATTTATTAGATGTAAAACTGGGAAGCAAACTGAAGATAACTTAGCTGAGGGAACCATCAGAGCACCATTCTAGTTAGATCCTGAGCCATTTAAGTCTTCCAGGATTTGTCTGTGTAAGCTTATCAGCCTGTTGCTGTTGCCTGTTGATGCCCTTAACTGTGGGAATATGAGTTTTTACAGTGTGAACTGTTACATGGTTGCGTCTGGATGTGGTGATGAGGAATTTTGGTCTTTTGCTTCAAAGAATGCTTATTTGTCTTTCCTCTCCATGCCAGAATGAAGATGTGTTTTGGATTTGTGTGCTTGAGTATCACAGTGTCTTTGTTCGTTATTGTAACCTGATCCAAATTGAATATTTTTGGGGTGACTTTAATTTGCTAATAACGTACATGTCTTTTTTGTGTCCAGAGTAGTTAGACATTTATGTTGAGTTGGCAAACGTGCTATTGATCATATTTCTTGATTTGCAACATAATCTTTGGTGTCTCCCATTTGCTCACAGCTTGATAAAGCTACAGGCTTCAGAGAGAGAAAATACATTCTTAGGCTTATTCAATGTGATGCTGTTCCAAGTATCCCACGGAGAATGCTGTGGGAGACAGGAATAGGAGAGAGTCATTAGAGTAAATAAAAATGCTGGGTATATCCATATGTATTGAATCTTGAGTATTGAAATTCTTTGTGAGAATTTGTGTGCTGTGAGGGAACTGTTCCTATCTCACAGAATTGAAAAATTACGGATTTTGTAGCACAGACATATTATCTCCAGTCGCACTTCGGAGTTTGTGTCACCAACAGCAATGAACAGTCCAGTCAGCTTTTCTACTGAGATGAGTTGAGGCTTTTCTGAAAAATCTTCTTTTAAAAATCAACCAACCAAAAACCCTAACAGAACAACAAAACCAAAGCAAATCAAAAATGGGGAAGGAAAAACAATAAAAGGGGGCAGAGAAAGATTTTGGTTTAATGTGAAGCTGTGCTTTGCTTGCCAGGGAGCTAACTTTCAGTAGGAAGTGTATTTAAGTAGGTGGGTAAATTGCAAGGCTGACATATCCTGAGTCCATTTTGTAGTTAGTGTATAAACCATGGGAATTAAGTGTTCTGTTTGCTTGCTACCTGTATTAATCAGGTTCATTATATCTCAGTGCAGTACTTAGAGGAGCAATATAAATGCAGTAAATTTTGACAGATTGAAAGATAAGTTGGGTGACAGGGAACTGTAGATATGAGAGAGTATAATAGTTCAGTAAACTTCTGAAATAAATATTTGATGTGTTTTCTCAGCTCAAGGGAAGGGGAAATTACATGTCCAAGTAGTATATTCTAACTTCTGTGACTAGAATTTCATTAAGTAAGAATTAAAAAGTTTAATTTCCAGTATCTCTATTCAGTAATGCAAAACTATAAAGAATTTAACCCAGATTTATTTTTTTTTTAAAGGGCTGGTTGCCCAGGAGATTTATCCATAATAATTTATGCACATTTTTGCCCTGAATAGAACCTGAAGTGTATTTGTGTTGTCCAGTATCTCCATGTTTGCTCTTGAAACTTCTTTATTGATGTAGTTAAGAAATAAACCTTTGTAACCAAGGTTTTTTATTAATTGTGGGAAGATTCCAGTGTTGCCTAATAGCTTAAATTGGAAGCTTCAGTGTCAACTGTGTACTATACCCTGCATTGAAAAACCAAAAGATAATCAGCTAAAGGACTTTGTTAAAATCTTATCCATTGAGGAAAAAGACCTGACAAGTGAGCTTTGTCCTTATGTCTGTGGCATATGTAATTGAATCGAGGAGAGCTGCTGCTTTACTGAGCTCCGGCGCATGCTGTTCGTGCCTCCTGAGCTCTGAAGGGGACTGTCTTGTCATAATGATGGCTCTGAGCACATCTATGGTATTTGCCTGGTTCATCTGAAGTGCTCCTTCTGAGAGTAGAAAGCTTTATGAAGATATTTTCAATGTACCAGTATTTTTTGCTTTGGTTCACTGGTTTTAAGCATCTAGTTTGAGGGATTTAACCTGCTAAGATTCAAATGTTTCTGAATCCAACTTAATTGTCTGTGGATCTAAAGAGAAGCTGGAGCAGGATTATATTGTGTTAAAAAAAATATTCAAAATCCATGGTATTAGAAGCAGGTTGCATTCTCACAGAAATGGGAAAGATTTGAAGCTCTCATCTTGTTAGGTATTTCTGGGGGGGCTGCTTGGTATCTTGTATCAGCAGAAGGAAAAGCTGCAAGACATACAGCTGAGAGGTGTATACAGGTTTTTTTCACATGCTCCACAGTAGGATTTTTTCTTATGTTTACATAATCTTGATCTTGGGAATATTGCATGTTTTGCATCATGACTTAAGAAGGGGGTTTTAAGCTAGAAGATATGGAGAAGCTGGCAGATAATTTCACATGAGATCAGTTTCAAAACTGGGTTCCCTGCATTTGGAGCTGAAATATATTGAACCTGGCCTTCAGGGAAAATTGCAATGCTTATCTCTCTGATCAGGCCAATGCTGGGAGGAGGGTACTGTGAAAAGATTGAGAGTAAGGTAGTTAAGCATTTAAGCTATAATCTTCGGCCACTTTTTAAAGTTTTGTGTTTTGGAAGTAAGTCCAAATGGTTTATCTAAGAAGTTAGTTTGCAGTCCTTTGTTACACTGAAGCATTTGTTTCTAGCTTGTAGAATAAATCTCTGTTTTATGTTCCTTTTTTTGAGTTTCCTGAGGTAACTTATGAAGCATCTCTAGCCACTTCTTTCAGTCTTTGTGTTACTTTTCAAATAGACATGGACTTCTCAAAATAATTTTTTTCAGGATACTTGGGTTATCTCTGTTGTAGTTACTGTTCTTAAATGTTGATAGTGAATCATTTACTGATGGTTCTCTTGGGGGTGGGGAAGAGCTGAAGAAACTGGTCACTGCAAGTTTTTCATGTGGTTATTCTTCAAGGGGAAAAAAGGGCTTACGCTGTCCTGTTATGTTAATGGTGGTATCTTGTAAATACAAATTCTTTAATTTGGTACTGCAATTACAGTTTATATGTTACGTAAAATGGTACAAAAGAGAACTCTGTAGCTAATCTCTGCACGGGTGACACATTCATGTGTAATCACATTTTATATTTTGACACTGATGTAAATACATATATCTGAATTGATCTCTGTAGTAAGTTAATGAATAGAAGTTGCTGCCAATGGGATGAAACATGAGGAAATTTTGACCTGGTTTTGAACTTTTCTTTAATAGGTAAGTTCAGTTCTACGCTCTACGAGACAGGGGGCTGCGACATGTCACTTGTGAACTTTGAGCCAGCTGCAAGAAGAGCATCCAACATCTGGTGTGTGTGAAGGCCAGTCAAGAGTGATGATTCTTGTCTTACTGCAACCCAGTATTTTATTTTAATTTTAAAAGGTTATTTAGTCTGGACTACTAAAAAACCCAATACAATACCTTAACCATATACTTACACTTTTGCGACCCAAGTGAGTTTTACTAGAAGATGACATTAAGTTAACTATTATCTCAGAATATAAAGACTACTATTAGCTTAAGCAGTACACTTCCAAACTGAGAACTTGACGAATGCATTTTTTGTTGGCTTATAGAAGGTCTTTGTTAAAGAATGTAACCCATTTTTGAGAAAGTAGGTGGCTGTTGACCGTAATGGCTATTGAACTTCCAATTGTGAAGCCATTGTAAACTGATAAATTTATTCTCAAGTTCATAGATGACATCAAACAGTACCATGGAAGTGTTAACATGCCTGAGATTAAAATTTGACTTGCAGCTGAAATAGCCAGCTACATACTGGGAAGTTCATCTACTGTGGGAAAGATGTCCTTCCTTTCTCTGAAGGGATAGGAGGTAGAAGAAAGAAAATCAACCCAAAACCTCCTGTGGCTTTCCACGTGCCCCAAATCTACTTCACTATGTAGAATTGCTCTGCTCAGCTATTGCGCCGTGCTGAATGCTGTAATTCCTACCACATGTAGGTGTAGCTCTTGGAATTATGGAGTAATGAATATAAAACGTCCCATCTTCAAATCTTTCTTGTGAGAGGATGCAAGTGCCTTTTGTAGAATTGAACTTTGACAAAAAGTTCTGCATTCCTTCCACAAAGCTGCCAATCCCTGCCTCTGCTGCTTGCATGTTCCAGATGCAATGGCTTTGCTGATGGCTGCTGTTCTGAAGTTGTATGTGCTAATGGAAGGAACAAACTGGCCACTTCAGATAATCAGATCTTGGCTGTAGAGAATACTTGAGTTTCAGTGAAGTAAAATTGATAACAAAGAATGTTTTTATCTTAAGGCAAGGAACTGAAGGAAAGTTGCATAAATTTGATACAAGTCTTACAACCATGTGATTTACATGGAAAACAAACATCCAAAAGCTATCCAAAATTGGGGGAAAAAGCAATGGTTGGATATGGACTCTCATACAGTAAGAGAAATTTCTCTTCATCTCTAATGAATGGGAATTGCAAAGTAATTTTGCTCTTCTTACCAGAGGTTTAACTTTTATTTAAAGTTAAGTTTTTCAAAAGCAGTTTAAGTAGCTCACTTTACTTGTATTAAGTATGTAATATTTTTGGCAGTTTTGGGATCTTGGTAAAAACACTATAGAGTTAAGAGAAACTGCATGTGGACACCTAGCGGCCTCTGCACTTCTTTGGAGATGTGATGTATGTTTACAAATCAGTATCTAGCAGCTTATAAAATATTTTTGTTTTTTCAAGTGAAATAATGGCTATCATTGAAGTTCTTTTTCAACAATTTAGGGACTGGGTGTTGAGAAAATGTTATTAAGGGTAAGATTCAAGAGTCTTTTGGCTTACTATAGCTGTGGAATGTACCACAATACATGAGACTATGAAGCTACTTGCATTTATAAGTGACTGAAGGGAAAGCTTAAGGATATTTACATAAAATTTACAAGGTATCAAAATTAATTTGAGAGATCAGAATGTTAGAGCAACCTGTTGAAATAAAATGTAGTTTATAATCTGAAGTATTTTCCCTGTTCTTATAGTGACACGGACTCTCACGTATCGAGTTCTACCTCAGTTCGCTTTTATCCGCATGATCTAGTAAGTTTTTCTTACTTATTTTTAAAGCATGCAAAGAATCAGAAGACGATCCAACTTTGTAGCACTGATTAATCATTCTGTGTGATTAGTTCTCTGTTCATATGAAAGAATTATGTCTGGATTAATGAAGAGAAAATATTTAGTATTGTAGTGTCTTCATATATAATACAAATCAATCTTTTTGCATAGCACTTTAAAACCTAATTGGTTTCCTCTGATCTAAAACCTAGCGATTTAAAAACACAGAAATTGAATGCTCTAAGATACCTTGTAAAAGTTCCAGAGATAATGTGTACAATTTGGAGTTTTCCTCCATGCATTACTGAGGTTAGCAGGCAGCAGAAAGACTAAATACTGTGTTCTGACCAAAAGAAATTTTACTTGAGTAATTTCCCTGAAAGGAATTTAGAAATCTGTCATTGGAGTCTGCTGTAAAAAATTTAAACTTATATGCAGGGAGTGACTGATAAAACAGGGCAGCTTACACTGTTTCATACTGCAAATAGCTTTCTAATTCCTTAGTTTTATGATCTCAAAACTTCTGTATTATTGTCAAGTCCAGTCATACCTGTACTCTTGATTCTGAAGTCATATGTTATGAAAACAGTGCAAATGGTCGTGATTCTTAGGATGGAAAATCAAAGAAAAGTATGTTGAAGTACCTAATGGCCTTATCAAGAGAGGAAAATTAAATACAGCTTCAGGATTTGGCAGGGGAGTAAGAGACCTCCATTTGCCTGACCATGCTTTTGATCAAGAATGTGCTTTTTAAACTTGGTGATTGCTAGAGGAACTTTGCCTTCCACAGTTCCCCTTCAACATGTAGCCTTTAGAAAAGAGGCTGCATTACTTCTTTTCTTTCGGTTTGCCAATGTAGTCCCTTTGGAGGGAATGATTCTGTTTTAAGGCAAATTTGTGACTGTAAAAGCACAGCCCATGCACCTAAATGGAAATTTCAACTGAAATTTATTATTAGTGTCATGCATGTTATGCTGATTCTACCTTTTAAGAAATTAAGTTTTTTTAAAATGGTCAAAAAGGGACCTGTTTCCTAACACAGCTTACCTTTAATAATATGATTTGTATTTTTGAAATGCCTTTAGAAAGGAAGTGTTCCTGCTTGTTTTTTCATAAGTATTTTTCTAGGAAGGAAAAGCTGCCTAAGCATAGTTAAGTACACTGATGATTTGAGGAGTGATGGAAAACATCATATAAATCAAGAAACTGAATGTTAGAAACTTAGATGACTGTTTGTTGAAACTTAGATAATTGTAGGAAAAAAGCCCCTCCAAACACTAAACCTGTCGTTTTGACACTTGAAGGTGGCATGAATATTGAAATTTTGCTCTTTGCACTTCACATTTGTGAAGCTTTTTCATTAAAGGACATCTTAACAATTACATTGCCTGAGTATAAAGGCCAGTATATCAAGGTGCTTCTTGGCCTGTTAATGGAATTTAGAAACTGGATTAGAGAATACACATGTACTATAGTATCTTATTAGCATTGAGTACTCTTCTTAATTATCTTTCATGGTTGTTAGTATTACTGTGATTTTCATGAGAATGCTAAACAAATACTTGTATCATAAATATAAGTATAGTCATGAAAAGTACTCGACTGTTTAGGGCAGAGCTTTTTCTTTGGTTCATTTCTGAGTGTATTCTGGATTCAGTGAGTTTGAATTTGACCACTGGTGCACGAGTATGTTGCTTTGTCATGCAAAAAGAACCATTCAGCATGGATTTGCATGCAGATTAGCTCACTATAAGAAATGTGTTGTAATTTATTTAAATTAATAATTGGATTATTCTTGTAGTGTGTTGTCCATGTATCAGTTTACTTGTCTTCAAATTTGAAGTTTTCAGAGTAAATGGGATAATGTGCTTAGAAGACACATTCATTTGAAGTAAGGCATATGCTGAAATGCCATAGTGTGTTGTATGCAAACTATGTATGCTAGTCCTATTCATGTGCAGTAAGGACAGAAAAAGTAAGTTAGGAGCCTGTGACAGTGCTTAACATGTAATTCCTCAAAAGTGAAACTAAAGAGTTCTGGCAATTTTCTTTAAAGTAATTTTCGGTATAATATAGTGATTTGATATAAACAAGCTTTTGTTAATACTAACTTTCTTTTAGCTTTCTCTTCCTCAGATCAGGTTGAACAGGCTGCTAACAATGGATACAGATCTGCTGGAGCAGCAAGATATTGACCTGAGCCCTGACCTTCAGGACCACATGCAACCTCAAGAGGAAGCAGCTCAAAAAGTCAAGCAGTACTATCGCTTTTGGATCCTGCCTAAACTTTGGATTAGCATCAATTTTGATAGATTAACTCTTCTGGCTTTATTTGATAGGTGAGAAGATCCTTGTGCATTACCAGATGTCAGAAAGCAAAGATGAAAACATTTACTAAACTATAATAAAGATGATAAAACTATCCTTAGAGAATGGTACTTATTTACTGTACTCTGAAAAATGAAAGAATAATACTGAATGTAGTTTTTCTAAAGTAATGGAGAGTACTCTCCTTTTTTTCTCTCTAGCAGTCAAAAAACGGAAAAAGGCAACCAACCTTCACTTTACCTGAGTGGGGCAGTACCATATTTGAATGGTGAAATAGAAAGATTAATGCCAATCTTTAATGCTAGGCATTGGATTGGAAGGAAAATTAATTCGAAGAGTCTACAACCTGACATGCAGTTAGTGTTTTGGTAAATAGGAAGAATTTGCTTGCTGTTTCAAAACATTATTTTCAACAGTCATTTAATACTGTGATTTCTTGTCCCTGCTACATTTACCAAGAAGAATAAAATTAAGGCGATCTCCAGTTACCAGCTTTTGAGATATGTAGAGTATTTAAATTTTGGTAGTGAACCTCCTTGAAATAAACAAGATAATCATGATTCTGTCCAGGGAAGAGTACTCATAATTCTGTTCCGAGGCACTGGCTGTATCACAGTGAATTATCTGTATTCCACTTGAATATCTTACTCAAGCAAGAGTATTTTTAGTTTCTTCATTAGAAAATCGTGAATGACAGATTATTTACACAGGTAACTTATCATGCTTGTGTTTCTCATAGGCTCATAATCATCTTGGATAGGCTTTGAGTATAGGTTTATGTTACGGACTGTGCTTCTGGTGGAACATTTGAATTATTTCTAAAATTATCTACTGAAGTTATCTTCTGCTTTTTAAAGTAAAATGCTGTAAGATACTAACTACTTTCAGCTGTCATTGAAATCCCGGTAGCTCCTAGCTTAGCTAAAGGACAGTATGCTGGTAGACTATGCAAGTTCAAATCTATTCTTAATTACTTTGCTACTAGTAGCATAACCGTTGTTAATTTTTGACCCTAACTGCTCTTTTGCAGCATTTTCTAGGCTTAGCTAGCTTTTACTATGCCTAGAACTCCTTTAACTCCTTTTTTTCTTTTTTTTCTCTCCCTTTAAAACAGGAATCGTGAGATCCTTGAAAATGTATTAGCTGTCATCCTAGCTATTCTAGTTGCATTTCTGGGCTCTGTACTTCTTATAGAGGGCTTTTTCAAGGATATTTGGGTCTTCCAGTTCTGCCTGGTAATAGCCAGTTGCCAGTACTCACTGTTGAAGGTATTTTAATTTCTCTTTACTTTCTGCAAACAATAGATAAAAATCCAGTTGGGTGTTGTAGGTTAGAGCTTTAAGGAAAAACGTGCATGCTTATCATTTATAAAGAAATGAGTAAACTTGGCCTCATGGAAAGTTTGATAGATGGTAATGCAAGGTCACTTCACTAGAATGGTTAAGCCTATGCTTGTTAAACAATCCTTTATTGTTCTCATGCATTTTTTTTGGTTTCATAAAGAGGAACACATTCTTACTCGTTGAAAACTGACTACAAGCTAAACTTGAAGTTTTATTGGTTTGGGTTTTAATTTTTTTTAGTGTCTACACCTCAGAGCATTCATATGAGGCAATTACATCTAAATATATTTTTAATCAGATTATTAATTTTTGTTAGACTAATGTTTTATTGTAATCCAAGAATTATTGATTATTTTTTATGATTTTACTATTAGGATGGAAATTAGATTTAAATTTAAAAGTTCCTAATACTGTTGAAAACAGTAAAAGTCCTGAAAATAAGGGTGGTGGGGATGTTTTTGGAATTCTGGTTATAGACATATACTCTTTAAACAGATTTATCTACTCTTTAAATAGATTTCATGGTTTATGCTATTTAAAGCCTGTAATGTGGTTTGACAACTGTAAAATTAATTGTAGATGTTGTTAAAAGGACTTCAACCAAAAAGGTGTGTGTAGGGAGGTAAACACACTTATCTCTAGGTTGGGTAACTTCCCTCTTCATTTTGCTTTCAGAGCGTTCAGCCAGATTCTTCTTCCCCTCGACATGTAAGTCATGGGCATGTGCCACTGTATTAACCCTGCAGATGCAGAACTCCCACAGAGAATTAATCATTATGGTTTGATTTTTATGGCAATTTTCCAATGTTCCTTCTTATAAGGCACAAAAGGCTTGTAGTTGTCCTAGTGTGTGACAAGGGAACTGATACTGTTTCTCCCCTGCCATACTCTTTGTATTTAGCAAATCATGTCCTCTTCTTCTGAGCCTAGCTTTCACTAGGGAGCCATGTCATGATAAGCTTTTTGATGAATCTTTATTATTCTAGCAATTACAGTGAGAAGCATTCTTAATGTTGTCATTTGCTTTGCTGGCATGAACTGACACATCTTTGATGTTCTGTTTCAGTCTTGCAGATCATTCAGTTGTCCTAGTGTGCACTGCTTTATTTTTTCACTCTAATAAGTTGAGTTTGCAATGCTCTAGTGAGCTTTAATGTTTGACCATGGAAATGTTAATGTTCTAGTATTGCACAATATGTTTATATTCTGTTGTGCATCTACTAGATTGCCAAGACAAAATATTACCTTTATGTTCTAGATAAGATGTATAAAAGCATTATTCCTCTGCAGCAAGTCATTAATTTTGTGTAAGAAGTTGTGTTTTGATAAACACCAATAGAGGTTGTCCCCCCCATCCAGCAGAAGCAGTATCTGAGTAATAAACTTTAATCCCTTTTTCCTTAAAATTGATTTGTTCTCAGTTGCTTACAAAGCCTAGTCAGAGCTTCTCTAGCATTTAGTAGTTCAACATAGCATAAAATATAGCTGAAACTAAGGGTATATATAGCTTAGTCTAACTTAATTGAACTGTTGTATTTTTGTTTTATCAAAGCCACAAAAAGCACAGATCGGTATTACTGCAAGGCAATGTATTAAGGATTTTATGAAGAAAACTTTAGGATATGGTGAGGTATAGGTATATTAGTTGATAACCAGTGATGAATTTTGGTTCTGAAGCTATCTGTAGCAGAAAAGTAAAAGTTACTTTATCCACTAATAATGAACAAATGTTGGTGTTTTTGTGGTTTATTTTTAAACAGGGTCACAATCGTATCATAGCCTATAGTAGGCCTGTATATTTCTGTTTATGTTGTGGTCTGATTTGGCTGTTGGATTATGGCAGCAGAAACATATCTACAACAAGATTCAGGTTGTATGGAATGGCTTTCACCAACCCATTGCTGCTGCTCTCAGCCAGGGACTTAGTTATAGGTGAGTGACTTTTTTCACGGATTTGAATTGATTGCTTTTTAACAGTAGAAGTTTATGGGAACATTCTCCCCTTCTGTAGCTTTCCTGTAACAAATGGCAGAGATGCCTTCTACTATTAAAATTTTTTATTATCCAATATCTTAGCCCTTATTCCTGAATATTCTTATTTAACTTGGACCTGCATATGTGTTTTGATTTTGACTGTTTCACACTCTCTGAAGGCGTGGCATATTGTGGCAAATGAGTAGGAGTTTTCTCAGGTTGTTTGTATTTAGCAATCTGGCAGAACAGTACAGATACAATTTTAAAAAAACATTATACACAGGTTAAATCTTATTTAATGCACCTCTTTACAGAACAGGCCTATCAACAATACCAGAAATACAAATTTCTGAGCTGTACTTCCATTTTGAGCTAATCCCATTGTTTTCTGAACAGCACGGTGCATTTAGAATACTGATGACATTTAACTCCATTACCCCCCTAAATCTAATGCAAAAAACCAACAACGTAAAACCCAAAGTAACAATCCTTTCCCCTATTATGAAAAGAATAACAGCCCTGTAGTCTCAAACAGAGCCCAGAGAAAAGAGAAAGAGTCATAAACATTTGAGGACTATCTTATCATGGGACCTTTGTGCATTGCTTTAATGGAGCAAAGTTATTTGGGTGATCTTTTGTTGATCACTGCTTCAGGTGGGGTAAGCAAATCTGTAAGAATTCATCTAGACTGAATGCAGTTGCTCTTCAGTTGTGTCAGAAAACCAGTATGTGAAATACTACAGCAGTTAAATGTTATGTCTGTGTGCCCCCAGACCATTTTCTGTCCAAGAAAAATAAAAACTTGGTCTGAGTGTGGTTTTGTAAAAATTTTGTTGATTAATAAGAATTACTGACTCAAACATTTTGGGTGTTAGTTGTTATTACTTGGTATTAAGAACATCCTGTATTTTATGCCTCATACTGCTTTCCCCTTCAACTTTATGCTAATAATTTTGTATTTAAATTTAAATGCCCAGAGGGAAAGTGTCTAAGCTGCATATTTTTGAACAGAAATTGTCCAGACATTTTCACAGGTGCTTTATGAACAAATTCTTTGGTTCTCTTTATGTACTAGCATACTTGATTCTGTATCAGTACTAAAAAAAGAAGATGGAAGATACTTTTGACTCATTCATGATACAAAACTAGCTTAATTTCTCTTGATGATGTTCTGTCAGTTTTGGAAGTATTTTCTTCCCTATTCTACCTTGTGGAGTCATTGCCGTAATGTATACCCAGATTCCCATAAGATAATACATAAATGTACATGGTGGTGGTGTGTCCTTCTGTGCCTAGTGAGGTACTTTCTGTGGTGGCATTTTCACCAGGCCATGTCCATGTTGGGATTAGCTTTTCAAGGTGCTTAGTTCAAGAGTTCTAAGTGGACTTTGAACTTTATTCTTTACTGTTCTTCTGAGGTATCTTGCAGCAGCATATGTGGTTCATATTTCTTGGCAGTTCTTCCAATAAAAAATCAAGATTACCAGAACAGCTTACCTATTAAAAAAAAAACAAAAAACAAAACAATCCTCCCAACAATAAAAAAAACAAACTGAACCCTAAACAAAACCCCAAAAACCAAAATGGTAAAACCCTAAGCAAAAAAAAACAAAACAAAAACCACCCCACCAACCTGCACTGCACATCCCTCCCCAACCCTCCCACATGATATACTTGCCCTCGGAGTAACTCTTAATGTTGCTGAGGCACTGTTTCAGTGTTGTGTGTACTGCAGACTTAGGCTGGCTGCTAGCAAACTTACATTGTTAAGTAAAAATCTCAGCTGCCTTTTTTCCTGTTCCCAGGCAAAAGTACTGGAAGAGCACAGGTGCAGAGCAAGGCAAACTTTGTGTTTAGATAATGTAAATGTTGTCTTCTTGCCAACAGATAAGTGAGGATTAGCATAAATGCTTTGTGTCCCACCTACTACACTTGATGAATTGCTCTAAATCTACTCCACACTTATAATTATTACCTTATCTTTTCACCTAGTTGGTCAGTGTTAGAAAACAATGATGTTATGCACTGTAAAAGTACCAAAAATAGTGGCTTGCTGCTGGACTACTCTTTAAAAATTGTGTGTTCCCCCCTCACCATCTGTGTAGTAATTTTGTTTCCAATGGGCCCAAGATAGTTTGACTTGCAGACTTTTGGAAATCAAGTTTTTAACTTGTCAGTGGAAGAGCACTGTATTTGCCTTCCATGTCGGCTTCCTTGAGTAATGATTTGAAATAGAGGTTTGACTTGAGAATTTTGAAAAAGGATTTTCTTCAGGTATTGAACAGCTGGTCTGTAGTCCTATGTTTCCTAATTAGTGTCAGTAAAAAATACAGAATTTCATATTTTTCCTGGGCTTGCAACCTGCATATTTTTAAATGATATTGTTGTTTAGCATTACTGTGGAGTTGGGAAAAAAAAATAAATCAGATTCTCCTTATCTATCTCACTGTAGATATTTCTAATGTGATATCCTTTAGTGTCCAACCACTGTGCATATAAAAACTAAACAAATGACACTTGTGGTGTTTGAAGATACTTTCAAGTCTGTCTCTTCTTTTGGTCACTGAAGCTACAAGTCGATAAGATGATAGAAAATCCTCCCTAAACTGCCAGATTTTGTCTGCTAAGGTTATTTTTGTTATTTGATCTTTCTAACCTTCAGAACCTAGAACTTATAATATGCTGTTGCATGTGCATTAGATCTGAACTACTATATCTGAATGTAGAAGATATTTCTGCATCTTTTATTAAGACAGAAAGTAAATGATACGTACAGGTTGAGGCATACCATTTTCTGTATAGAAATTAGATGGCATTCATTTATCTTTGCATTCTGAAATCCTGTAATTTGCAGGTGTTTTCATGATTCATACAGCTGTCTGTTCTTTTTTAACAAAATCCTAACCAACCAAACAAAACCCAGTCGTTTAGGATGAGAACTTTGAGAAGTGGTGTGGGAAAATTAGTAAAATTGTCAGATGTTATTAGTAGCAAAAAACCTAGAGGTGGAGTGCTTGGCCTGCCTTACGTCAGAGTGGCTGGTGTTGGGTTGCTCCTGGAACTCCAGACAGGCAGTTAGGCTCGGATAAGCCTCACTTACAGTAAGTGAAAACTTACAAGTCTAATCTGTAAACACTCCTGGCTGATCTTTGCTAAATAAAAATGGAAAGCCTGAATTGGCCTGTGTCCATGTCTACAGCAATTAAAAGGAAAGTACTACTGATTTGTATGACCTCTGTATTCAGTCAATTCTGAGTCACTGAGGTAGAACTTTACATAATGTGTGTTTTCCTTAGAAATTTTTAATAGAAATACTTTAGTGATGTTGAGTTAAAATGGGGTGTGTAATACCCTAGAAGTTAAACTGAAAAATATCTTACCATGCTGTTTTTTTCATATTCACCACTTTTTCAACTCTTTTTTTTTTTTTTTTTTTCCCCTGTAGTGTTTACACTATGTTTCCCTATAGTATTCTTCATTGGTCTCCTGCCTCAGGTGAATACGTTTGTGATGTATCTCTGTGAACAGCTGGACATTCATGTCTTTGGTGGCAATGGTGAGTGATATGTTTTGTGTCAGCAGCAAACATATGAGATGTGGAGAGCCAAGATCACTATGTTAGTTTAAAAAATTAATGGTTACACTGTTTTCATTCCTACCCTTTAAACACATAGTGCTTAATTGGATTTTTAAAAAGCCTAAGAGTCTTCTGATTGACTACTGAGAAATAGAATTGCTGTCCTAGTAAGTCTGTCACTTTCTTCAACTGGTTTCTATTGCAGTTAACTGTTCCCATGGTAAAGCTGTTCAATAACTAAGGAGATTATAAAAGCCACATAAAATGCTCTTGATAAAAATCACTTCTAGGGGAAAACAGAAGTAGCTGCTCTGTTTTGAATTGCCTTTTTTTTTTCCATCAGAGGAAACTGGGGAGCTGATAGCTTAAACTGAAGTATTTTGTATTCTGATTTAAGAAGATAACAATGTTGTTTCTTTTTTTCTTTTCATCTCTATGATATTCAGCTACCACAAGCCTGCTTGCAGCACTTTACAGTTTTATCTGTAGTATTGTGGCAGTAGCATTATTGTATGGACTGTGTTATGGTGCCCTGAAGGTGAGAAAAATTTTATGCACAGTAAATATTAATGTCTTGGGGTTTGTTCTCTGCTTTCTTCTGTATTAAGTAACTAAAGTATGCAACTACTGAATTAGAAATACTAGCTTGATGTACTAGGATTTTATACTGGCTCAGCTGTGATGTCAATAGAGGAGATGCAATGCAGGAGCAAAACAGATGTTTTTGCTTTTGAAAGGTGTGTGATTTGTGCCTGCTCTAACAGGCTTTTTTTTTGGTTGAAAACACATGGCATTTACCATCAGTTCTGTCCTACATCAATTCTTGAAAATATCATGCAAATAACTTATTTTTAGCAGAGTCAGCATGTATTTGTATGTTAACCTCTTAAAATGGCACATGTGTAAATATTTTTTTCTGGTGCTGCAAAAGTGAAACAGTATTTTCTAATTAGTATTTATTTGAGAAGAAACTAATAAATAGTTTGTAGTGTCAAAGTGAAGATGTGTGGCTATCTGAAGGGGAGAGTTAGAGTTTGCTGGCAAAGGGACACACAGACAGCCCACACATAGCCTGTTTTTCTTACTTGAAGTGTTTGAGAACAGTATGGAATGTGATGCTGGTTCTGTTTATTCATTTCAGGTATGTGTCAATAATCAGACATGCTCAGTTTACAATGAATTGTAGCATGTGTGGGTCCAACTCAGAGTTGACTGGCTTTTCCACTTTATCACAGAGAGCAGAAAGTTCCTAAAGGAGTTACTCCCATGATGCTGTCACCTGCAGGACATCATTAGCTTTCTGTGAATTTCTACACTTGTCTCATTAGCCTTTTTGTAAACACATCCATTTAAGCCAAACAAGCTTTAGCAAAGAATAACTGTTTTATCTTTGCAGACCCAGTACAGGTCAGGAAAACACAAAGTCACTCTTTAATCTGCATTCAGCACATTCGAAAATATAAATCTTGAGTCAAAATACATGTAACATTCAAAATTAACAAGTGACTAAATACAGCTTTTAAGAGCCTGTGGTCTTAAGGAATGAAGGAAATGCTTCCTAAGGGTTATGAAAAATGATGTCTGTTTAATGATTAAGATGGTGTAGACTTGAGATATGTACACTGTGGTAGAGTTTCTGATCTATAGTTAGACATAGGTAAAGATGGAATAATACTTTTGTACAAAATTACCTGTCTTATTTTTCTGGAATTGTAGTTAATTTTTTCCGGTCTCTGTGATACACATAATTCTTGTATGTCAGGTAAGTGGTGTGTGCTTTGTCTCGTTTTTATTAACATTTTGTTTCTGTCTCCAGGATTCCTGGGATGGGCAGCATATTCCAGTTCTCTTCTCCATATTTTGTGGTTTGTTAGTGGCAATATCGTATCATCTCAGCAGACAAAGCAGTGACCCTTCTGTACTTTTGTAAGTGACTCAGTTTGGATCTCTTCCACAATGAAGAAGCAAGTTGCAAGGAAAAATTACAAATAATGTTACTACTTACTATTGTTTGAACTTGTACTCACCAGCATTAATAAAAAATAGTATTTTCTTGGTTCAAGAGTTAGAAATTCTTATATTTTGCATCTAGTTCCTTCTCTAACATTGACTGTTTTTGTGGCTTCTGGTAAATCACTTACATGCCAAAATCTAATTTTGCTGCCTGCTGATGTTCTCCAAAATGTCAGTCAGGTGCCATCTTTCTGCTGGTGGGTTTGTTGGGAGTAACATGTACCCTTTCTGTGCTTAAAGAGGTGCTTGAGGCACTGGTTTAAGCTGAAGCCCACAGGGAGACATCTTGAACAACTTCATTTGTTGATGTATTCTTACATTGAATGCATGCTCCAAACACTTGTTCAGATAATTATGCTGAATTATGCTAAATCATCTAGCATGGGAAAACAGGTATTCATGTTATTCTGAGTTGGAGTAGAGATCTGATGCTGAGGGTGTTTGATACAGTTAATAATGATATGTGTAAAACAAAATAGTTCCAATAGAAGAAACACCTCCCTTAGAATAGCCAATATTAGTTATATTATATAATAGCTCAGCCACATACCTAGGTTCGGCAGAGCTTGAGCTTGGATTTAAATGTAGCCATAATGTTGGATTAATTTGATAACTGGGGGCCTGGGGTAGGTAGTGAAGGACCTCTTCTGTGAACAACAAAATTAATGATTCACGCATGTTTACCTGGGAGGAAATTTCTTATCTTTGGATTGATCACTAGACCTTGTCCAATTACTTAGTTCAGTTGATATGAGGTCCTTTTCCCTAGATACTTGTTCTTTTGTTCTTTCAAAAAACTAAGGTCTGGATGTTTATGCTTGACCTGCATTTTCACCTGTTTAGCCAGATGTGGCACAGGTGAGCACTGTAATACATTGCAATATGTAATTTCCTTTGAAGAGCTGGGGCTCATTCTGTAGTGATCTTGCTGTACATAAAATGAAATAATATTTCTGCACTGTATCGGCTGTTGTAAAAAAAAAAAATACACTGAGGGTTTCACGGGAAACGG